TTTTTTTTTGTATGGAGCGTGATGTACCCTAATCTACATACATACATACATACATACATACTTAACTATTTAGAAACTGTCTTTTCTCACTCTTGGTAAGGATGACTCCTAGGTTATCATACCTTCAGAAAATTTTGAACTAATTACACGGAACCTAGAATCAGAAATAATGTTGACTACATAGCAGTCTTCTTCTGAAATAATGCTGACCACATATTCATCGACATTGTTTTTTAGGTGATATGAAGGATTACATACTCATCCCATTGCAACTGAACTTGTGTAAGGAATTGTCATTATTTTTAAAACAAAATTTTCACCAAATACTTTGAGAACCATAAATAGCTGATAGTGAATAATTAGTATATACACGTGTAAGATTATAACAATAAAAGGGGATTTTTACGTACTTTCGATTCTCCAAAATTAAAAGGTTTAATTCATATACCATAAACATACATGCATATTATGTATGTACATATATGTATTTATGTCATTTAAATCATTCTTATCACCCTCGCACGTTTCCACAATAAAGCGGTTAATTAGATGTGTGCGAAAAAAGAAATTAGGCAAAAGTAAGCCAATTTTTACTGATAAGATATATGTATGTAGTATGTACTCGCAAGAATGTTTGTCAGCAACATTTGTAGCTTATAAATTAAGAGAAATGAAAATAGATAATTTTTTTACTTTTGGTGCAAATCATTCGACATTGTGTACAAGTGTTCTCTTTCTGTATTCGAAAGTGGTACAGTACATTCCAAATGCGATTTTGCTCTGTGGTTACTCATACGCAGTGGTGTACGCAAATGAGAAGCTTATGATATGACTACGGTGACCATTCGTACCGATTTTGGCGGGACAGCACCGATTTTGAGAAAATTGTCCCGCTGAATACTTTTTAAAAGTCGGGATGTATAAGTGTCCCGATTTTCAGTGTTCTCTTTATTAATTTAAAAAGAGGCGCCCTGTAGTCTGACCCAAAAACATTTTTTCTTACAAACTTGGCAGCATAAACATAGCCAGCATCCATACTTTCAATCATCTTTGGTTATGTTTTATGCTGTCAAACTGGTACTCTCCGTGTATTGTAGTCTACCACTCTTGGCTGAATTTTTTTTTTAAGGTTTTTATAATTATTTGTTATAAGTTTTGTTTTTTATTTTCATGAAATGGTTCTAACTTGGATTTATTGAATTTATAAAAAAATAATAGATACTAATTTCCTCAAAAAATTCATGGATATAAAAAATATAAGCTGTACATACAGTGGCAAAAAAAAATAAATATTTAATGTTTATTATTTTTTATGAAAGTGTTATTTATCAAAGACGTTATTTACCAAAGCAACTAAAAATTTCAAACGTTTTACAAAAATTAGCGAAGTTCGACAAAGTTTCATCAAAATGTTGAGTTTTTTAATTAGATTTTGCGATAATTTTTCAAGTTTATTTCTCTTTGTTTTGTTTTAAATAAAACAGTATTCTATTCTAAAAACTGTCCTTCTATTCTAAAAACAAAATTATATGTTCGGATTTGATGCATTACAATTGCGCCGATTTTTGTCCACCGAAATCTGGTCACCGTAGATATCACACAAAATGCTAGAAATAAAAGAGAAATAAAATTATGTACTTACAATAAAACCCGTAAATTAAGTTAAATAAAAGGTGCGAAAAGAAAAGAAACTGAAAGAAAAGGAAAATAGAGGGAAACAGGAAAGAAAGGGATAGGTATGGAAAGGAAAGCAAGACGGAGGAAAGAAATTTAGGGGAAAATAATGTAAAAGAAAGAAGAATTTAATATTTTTTTTTTGTTTTTTTCTTTTGTACTATTGTTTATCACTTTCAAGTTCTCCAAAATCAACCGTAGTTTTTAGCACCTTATTATACCAAAATTAATGGGCTACATAACTGCACACCCAAAATTTTTCTAAGAAGTCGAATTTAAAAGTTAAAAATTTTGTTAAATTTTTTTTTTTGGTATTTATTGAGCTTTCCCTAGATTTATGTGATATAAAAAAAATTGCTAGTTTTTACGGTTGGATAAACTATATTTAAAGAAAAAAAATTAGAGCATATACATACATAATTTAATAAAACTAAACAATAACTCAAGCGAATATGTGCCCCCTGTACTCTCCAAATCACACGCAACATCAGTGAACTACCACGAAAATATTTAGAAAAAAAACTCCTTCATCAGAAGCATTATAGCCATTGTTACAGTTGGCTGACATTGCCAACATTGCTGTGACAGTGACAAAATGTGACGAAAAAACTAAAAAAAAAATACTAACTATGGCAAGCGCAACCACCAGATACAAAAT